CCCGCGGCGCCACTGTGGAGCCGCCGGGCAGCCCCGGCTCCGGGACTCCTGGGCGCTTCGAGGGGTAAGGGGGAACGCGCTGCGCCGTGATAGCCTCTCTGGTTGGAGTCTGGCCGAAAGCAGTTTGTGTGAGAAACGGTTTGAACCTACCTGGTAGAGAGACTGGTGGGTGCTCATTGCGTGGAATAGCTGGGTCTGACCCAAGTTCCCTCGCCGCCCAGTTGGTGTGTTTATCGTTGTTGGAAGTGTCCAGGGGAGATAGCAGTGGCAGAGAATTCCAGGCAATGACACTGTCCGTAGCATCTTGGCGTGGTGTTTCTAGGAGACCTGAAGGACCTGGGTTACAGTGCCATCCTTTTTCTATACGATGGATACAGTACAGCGTGGCTGCTCAGGAAAGGCGTTCTAGGCTGGACTGGGGAGTTTCCTAACTGGGAGCTGGGACCTCTCTAGCTGCCTCTGCAACCGAGGTCAGGGACGGATTGTGGACTTGAATGAGATAGTGCTGTGAAACATCTGTGGGCCGGGCCAGTGAGTGGGAGCTGGGCAGGACAGCAAGCACTGCCCAGACAAAGTCTAGCCCAGGCCATCTAGAGCTTGCTGGGGGATAGATGAGCACTGGCTGTCAGGACAGGGGCACCGAGTCGCAAGAGGCTTTCCTTCCCAAGGACCTTGTCTGAGTCTAGGGGGCAGGTGATGCTGGGTGTGGTTTAATGAGAAGTAGGGAGGGGGCTGCTCTCCTGCAGGGTCGGCGGGGAAGCCCTGGCAGGCCTGGTACATGTGCCTCATTGGACCTGCCTTTACAGCACAGGGCCAGGTGAGGCTCCTCCCTCTTCGCCCTGGCTCAGGAATGTGGTAGGTGGCCCCACCCTGCCAAGGGTGAGCTGTTCCTACTCGCAGGAAGGAGACTGGTCCCCCTTGCCAGGGCCCTGCCTATTTTGGGTCTGGTCTGAGACCTGTTAGAGTAGCCTCACACCTGGGTGCGAGGCATCCAGGCACCAAGCCAGGTGAGCTCATGTGGATTCTATGCCCTGACGGACCATGAAGAGGAGGATGAGGAGGGGCAGCAGACCCAGTGTAGGAAGATGAGCCTCAGCTCACAGCCCTGCCCTGAAGACTGTCTTTGCTCTGTTCCCTAGGGAGTTAGGGTAAGGGTCAAGGTCCCATGGAGGGCAGTAATCTCCTCTGGCCCTGACTGAAAGAGGGGTATTGTGTGTGGCAGTGTTGAAGGATAGGGCAGGAGTGTGTGTACCACTGTGGCCCTGATGGAATGGCTCTGTCTTTGCAGACTCATTTGTGAACAGCCAGGAGTGGACCTTGAGCCGCTCCGTGCCGGAGCTTAAAGTGGTGAGTGGGGCCATGGGAGGCCCAGAGGCCCTGTGGCTGGGTGGGCCAGTCTTTATTTAGGTTGTGGGTCTGGACATTGGTTCTCTTGGCTTCCACTCCTTGCTCTGTTGGCTTGCTTCCTCCTACCCTGGTGTTTTCTAGGCCTTTCCAACCTGCACGCTCCTTCCTCGTACGAGTACGCCGCAGTCTCACCTTTCCCTTGTGCCTTCTGACCACCGATTTACCCATTCCTCTTCTGCAGGGCATAGTGGGGAACCTGTCTAGTGGGAAATCAGCCTTGGTACACCGATACCTGACAGGGACCTACGTTCAAGAAGAGTCCCCTGAAGGTGAGCATCACAGGCTAAGCCATAGATTGCCTCTTCCTCCACATTGTGTCTATGTGGAGCTCATTCCTCCCCTGGCCCACCCTCTTCTCTTCTCCCCAGGAACCCAGGGCTTCAAGTGCACGTGCACACACAGACACAGAGAGACAGACAGACACACACAGAGAGACAGACAGACAGACAGACAGACACACACACACACACACACACACACACACACACCATTCTCCTTCCCCACATTTGGTTCTCTTCTCCTCAGGAACCCAGGGCTTTTACACACACACACACACATACACACACACACACACACACACACACACGCACACACACCCTTTACCTTCATTGGGTCCTGACCTCTGTTCTGTCCTAGGGGGTCGATTTAAAAAGGAGATTGTGGTGGATGGCCAAAGCTACCTGCTGCTGATCAGAGATGAAGGAGGCCCCCCTGAGCTCCAGGTGATACTCTTATTAACATGCCTGCATAGTAGTACCCAAGTTCACCAGGGCCAGTGGGGTGCTGACTCTGCTTATCTCCCCAGTTTGCTGCCTGGGTGGATGCAGTGGTGTTTGTGTTCAGCCTGGAGGATGAAATCAGCTTCCAGACGGTGTACAACTACTTCCTGCGCCTCTGCAGCTTCCGAAATGCCAGCGAGGTGCCCATGGTGCTGGTGGGCACACAGGGTGAGGCAGGGCATGCCGCATGGCGGGGTATGGTGGAGGATCAGTGGAGTCTCCATAAATAGGCTGTGAGCCCCAAGCTCCCACTCTCTGCTAAACAGTGACAAACCCAAGGTCCTTCATTTGTTTTTCTCTGGATGATTTGGAAATCTGTGTGATTATTGTGTCCATAGTTTTTGCTGTTATTATTGATTTATGAACCAAGGTCTCACTCTGTAGCCCAGGCTGACCTTGAATTTACAGTTCTCTTGGCTTCCCAAATGTGGAATTGTAGGCATATGCTGTAACACTGGGCTATGACCACATCTGTTCTCATTGAATGATCAAGGACTCATGAAGTTACTGGTTTGTTTTCACTCAAAAAGGCATTAGAAGAATGAAACAAGGTCCAGGCACCTGCGTTGTCTGTGCTCTGTGTGCCCCACTTGGGCGTCTGCCTGCCCATCAGTGCATAACCCTCTGTTGCTTCTCCGCCAGCTGAGTGATTCCCCCATTTTCCAACAGATGCCATCAGTGCCGCCAATCCCCGGGTCATTGATGACAGCAGGGCCCGCAAGCTGTCCACAGACCTGAAACGCTGCACGTACTATGAGACATGTGCGACCTATGGGCTCAATGTGGAACGAGTCTTCCAGGACGGTAACTCAGGGCCCCAGAGCTGGGCGCAGGGTGGCCCTGTGGCAAGCAATTAATGCTACATGTGTTTGGGGAGCTGGCGAGCTGGGAACGAGTCTTCCAGGATGGTAACTCAGGACCCCAGAGCTGGGCGCAGGGTGGCTCTGTGGCAAGCAATTAATTAATGCTACATGTGTTTGGGGAGCTGGCGAGCTGGGCTTTCAACCCCTCTCTCCAGCAAGTGGAAGAATTGACTTTGCTATTCCCTGCAGTGGCCCAGAAAGTAGTAGCCTTGCGGAAGAAGCAGCAGCTGGCCATTGGGCCCTGCAAGTCCCTGCCCAACTCACCCAGCCACTCGGCCGTGTCTGCTGCCTCCATCCCGGCTGTGCACATCAATCAGGTGCGGCCACGTCCCTGTACTCCCTGCCTTTCTTGTCTGTTCCCAGCTCCTCTGCTTCATCCTCACCCTTGCTCATCTCCTGGCCTTGCTTGTGGCTCCAGTTCTGTGTGGACTGCATGGTTGGCCTTGGTCTGGTCTTTTCCTGTGGTGACTGCCTCTTGTCCCAGTTTCTATGCTATTCACTCCCCTGTCTTTCCTCCCAACTACTTTGGCCACGACATCACAAACACATGCCCTAATGAACGCCATTTAAATGGTCTCCTAAGCTACTGCTTAAGGAAACCTTACTTAGCAGGCACAGAAAGAAAGGAAAGTTCTGGTGTGCTCACCACTCCCCTTGGTAAGGCAGGCCTGACCCTGTCTTCTCTAGTGGACAAACACTTCCACTTGGTTGCAGGTGTAGTGCCTTCTTCCCAGAGAGGAGGAAGTGGCTGACAGCCCCAAGCCCAGGAGGCACCAAGGCTGGCCCTCTGTGCCCTGTGGCAGTGTTTTTATACTAGAAGAGCAGCACATTCTCATGAGGGTGTTCAGATTTCAGCTCCACTCGGAATGTGCCGATTCTGAGCCAGTTCCTGCCATTGCATGTCCTGTCATACCATTTGGACACTTGTCTGTATCTGGGCCTATTTTTGTATTAGTGTTTGACCCTTGACATGTGGGCCAGTGCTTGGTTCCATAGCTGCGTACCCTGCCTGCTCTGCTTCACTGCTGCAAGCCCAGAGTCATCCACAGTGGTTAGTGATCAGCGACTATGCTTTCCAGTGGTAGCTTGGCTCCAGTGCCAGGACCCTTCTTAGGACTTGTGAGAAGGCACAAAGATTCTTAATATGCCATTCCTCAAAGGAAAGAGGAGGGAGGAGGGGGTAAGGAGAGGGCATAGGAGAATGTCTTTGTATCTTTAAGTGGTACACCTACCTCACACCCTGCTTCTTTGCAGTGGGCCTGCCCTTGGGAGGCTGCTGAGGGCAGGGGTGTATTCAGGCCCTGGTCAGTTTACTGTTGGAGATAGGGCCTGGCACTCTAGCACCGCCTCTCTGGTCCTGAGAAGACACTTCCTTGTACTCTGTCTCCATCCTATAAACATTTTTGGCTTTCTTTTCCTTCTCTTCCATTCTCCATCTGCAGCTTATTTTGCTCGGCAGCCTTTGCTCTGTTCTGCACTATACCCCAGACTGTTACTGATGCTGTCTATGCCATACACTTTGTCAAAGCAAAACCCAGACTGCCCAACCCCCTGAGCCCAGCCCCAGCTCAGGGAACCCAACCCCCAGCCTTCTGCCTCTGATTTTGAGGATTCAGAATGGTGACCTACTTCTTGTCCCAGACCACCTGCAAGCCGTGATGCTACTGTTGGTTCACTTTCGGGCTGTATCCCTGATTTTGGAATGTTAGCTGGTGCCCCTGATTCAGCTCTCAGGTTGGCACAGAGGTATCCCCATCCAGTCCCTTCCAGAGCCCCAGAACACAGGTGTCAGGTTCCTCATGGTGGCAGTTGGATTCTGTTGGCCTCCAGGACATGCCACCTCTCCTCAGTACCACCTTTTGGAGCCAGCAGCCCTTCTGCTGCCTTTTGTGCTGTGGGCCCCCTGTCCAAGTCCCTCTCAGCAGCCTCTCTATTCTTAGGCCACGAATGGCAGCGCCTTCAGTGACTACTCGTCCTCAGTCCCTTCCACCCCCAGCATCAGCCAGCGGGAGCTGCGCATCGAGACCATCGCTGCCTCCTCCACCCCCACGCCCATCCGCAAGCAGTCCAAGAGGCGCTCCAACATCTTCACGGTACGTGCCCCACCCTCCTCCCTGCCCAGCTGCTATCACTGCACAGGCAGGGCTGCGCCGAGCTCCCGAGCTCCCGAGCAGGAGGGCAGGCAGCCCCAGGTCAAGAGGATGCAGTCGCTCGCTGTCACACGTAGACACACAGGGTTCCTAGAGGTTCCCCGTTGCACCTCGGAGTCCAGGAGGGCTTCCCTCAGACCCTCCCCCTGTGCACATGCTCACCCCCTGTAGCCTCCCCCCCTGCCTCCCTCCCAGACCCTAGAGTTTCTGTATCAGTGTGAAGGGATCTTTGGACTTGTGGCCTAACTTCCCTGACCCCCTTTGATTCAACAGCTAATGAACCGGAGGCCGGAAGGCTGTTTGCCCAAGGCGACACAGAGGGTTAGCTGGCCGAGCTAGAGTCCCAGCCAGGCCTCCCAGTCTGCCTTCCGGCTCTTTTTCCGTTACCCCACTGCCGAGGGGAACATTCATGCTTCCCACCCACCGCTGTGATTGGTTTAACAAAGGCTTAGCCATCTTTTCCTGGGCTTCACCACGCTGCCTCGTGCCTCCCGCTCAGGTTTGTCCTGTCTCCTTGTGAGCTCCTTGCCCTTCCCCACCAACCTCATGCCCCTACCCGGGGTCCACTGAGCCTCCCTGCTCAGAGCCAACCCCTCAGCTCTTTGGCCCCTGAGCTTACCACTCCCATCCCAGTTTTTGCACACCATGCCCCTCCCTGCCCTGGCTGTGGCCCTTCTCTGGGGCTCTGGCTGGACTGTTCAGGAGCTGTGGGCAGACAAAGGTGGGTGAGCAGCCTGTCCCTCTGCATCACTTCACACCTCTTTCTGAGAGCCAGGGCTTGGCTCTTGGCCTGAGCCTGTATCCAGCTGGCCAGGCTAGACTTTCTGGACCCTGCCCAGACAGAGCCAGTGCCCCTGGGCCTCTATCCCCCATTCTGACATCTACCCTGCTCGACATGCCTCTGCCCTGCACCCCTCTGTCTGCTGGCTCCTGGTGTGCGCGCTCACTGGCCTCTTTCTGCTGATGGCTACTGCTGCTGTCGGGGCACACTGTGCTTCCCCAGCTCCAGCCCTGCAGACCCACGGCTTCTCTTTTCTGTTCTGTTCCATCCATTGAGATGTGCAGAGTCTTGGTGGCTGCCTGCTCACGCCCACACCTGCTGCTGCTGTAAAGCCTTTGGGTGCCTACGTCACAGTGACCGCCACTGGCGCCCTCCACAGCCTGTTCCCAACATCAACGCCTGTCTCAACCATCCGCTGCCTTGACTGATTCCATTCTTAGCATCTTCCCATCTTCCTCCACTGGCTGGCTCAACGTCAGGGCATCCCTGCCTCCCTGCTTGGCCCCCTTGCCACAGCACCTTCAGGCTCCCTCCATGTGTACTCTGCTGCCTGCCTGCCTCAACTGTGCTGCCTTGCACCACCACCACACCCCTGGCTGCTTCAAGCACGGCCTTCCCTGCAGGCCCTTCCATTTTCTCCATCTTCACAGTGGCGACCTTATTTTTTCTTTCCATCGTTTCCATGATGACCTCACTTGCGCCATTGTCCCTGAGGCAGCCTCAAGGCATGTTCAACTCTATGGGTGTATCTTGGGAATTCACCCCATCATTGCTGTTGGGGCCACCCTTCCTTCATCCTTCCTAGAGGAGTTACACCTGCTCCAGGGGGATCCTGTTGTGTGCTGCCTGTTCTGTGGCTGGTGACTCCTCTCTGGGCATGGTTGTGATGTCCCAAGTCTCCCCTTCATGACTCCATGTATTCATTTGTTGCCACTCTTGCCCTGGTTCCAATTCCCATCCTTCATGGGGAGGTGCCACTCTGGGCTCCTGGGGTTTCCTGGTTGTTGGCAGCCCCTTGGCTTAGCAGCCTGGCTGGGGGTAGGCCTCATCACATTCATCCTGACCAGCAATTCATTCTGGAGACCCAATGACAACAGACGCAAACTCCTTCCTCCTCCTGGGGCCAAAGGGGCAGAGGGCTTTAGCCTTGAGCTTTAGCCCCGAGAGGTCTGGAGGCAGCTGCTGTCTGTGGAGCTGCTGGGCAGCAATTTAATCTTTAGCAATTTTGCCCAGTTCTTCGTGCTCCCCCTGCTGGGCTTTCTCACACATTGCGGTTGCATTCCTTTGTCCGGACCCTGTGCCCCTGTGCCCTTGTGCCCCTGTGCCCTTGGCTTCTGGCACCCTGGGAAAACAGGAGGGATTGGGCCCAGGCAGCAGAGTGGTGAACGTTCCCTGCTGACATGGACTGCTGGGCCACAAATGCCCAGCAGTTGGCGGCCTCCTCCTCCTCCTTTCCTTTTCCAACCTCCTCCTCCTCCTCCTCACATCGTCCTCCTCATCCTCCTCCTCCTCCTCTTCATCCCGCTGCCGCCTCTCCCCAGGCGCCTGGGTCTCTGCCCTCACCAGTGCTGACCGACTTTTGCGGGGCTTAAGTATAACTTGCCAAAATCTTTATTCTTTCGATATTTGCAGATATGTGCCACTGTTTCCAACTTTTCATCAACAAAAAGGCCTTTCCAACTCCTTCCAAATTAGAAGACCAGGTGGTGACACACAGCACCTCTGGACATTCCCCCTGTGCGGGGCCGGGGGCGGGCCGGGCCCTGGGACTGCTCTCAGATGAGAAGGGGCCTCTGAGCTCCCCGCTCCAGAGACCC